TTGGGGTAATCTATGTTGTTCTAATGTTTTACAAGGTTTATATCATCTCTACAGTCCAAAAGTCCGACCATACTTTTAAAGTGAACTTAAGTGAAGAGAAAGGAGATCGGTATTCTATTCAACAATGCCTAAATATTTATCGCGGAACCGCTTCAATAACAAAAGAATAAAGATTTATATCTGGAGATTTCCACCAAGAATATCTATCCTCGATAGCGTCATAGATCACAATGACAAAGGACGGAGAATCGTATTTCGTAAAAGTGTTTTTGATCCAAAATGATCATAAGACCTTATCTAGAATATTTTCTAGTCGCTAAAATATGATAGACATTTCAATATAAGGTACAAAGGGCATTGACTAAAATTGGTGCCTTTCTTTTTTCTGGCGGCAGTCGATGATTTATGGAAAATATTATCTAGAATGACATTATAAACGAAATTGTCTATGGGCTCATATATGGAAATCTCAGTCTGGACTGAGGTATGATCGTTGAAAGGAGCTGGAGCCAAACATTTTACTTTGTTTTTTTTATTCAAATTATTCATATTTTTGTTACAATCCCTAACTTCAAATTGCGCGCCACTGTACGCCGGGCACAGGAACACCATATCACACTACAATATATCCATATTGCCAGACACTAATTTTTATTAGCTATTTTCTCTCAGTCGATAACCTGTGGGATGCTTCTAGGAGTTGTGTCATGAAGCTTCATGAGCGTCAGCTGTCGTACCAGTGGTGGGTTGAGTAGTGGTAGCCGTCCAAATATCTAATAAAGTATTTTTTTTTTTCGGTGACACCTGGTGGGAGACTTATCTACTCTGTAGTTAGCATAATCTTTTGAAGAAAGGAAACCGTTACCTTTGTAAAGTGATGGGCTATACGTCAGATGAGCGAATAATATTTCCACATAATGTCATCAGCCGAAATATAATCCATCACTTGATGACAGTCTGAATGACGATATCTTTGTACAAAATCTTATGCTAGCTGTCGATTAAAGTATTCACTGTAGTTAGATTACTTACTAATCCGGAGTAAGTCGGAAGAAGTAGACAGAAAAATGATTTTTTAGTTTTACCGACTGCCACTACTCAATCCGCTACCGACGCTGCAGCTGACAAACATAGGAATTCATGATAAGACTCAGTGAAGTATTTTGCAGGTTTTCGACTGAGAGGAAATTGATCATGAAAATCTGTCGTAAGTCATAAACCGTATACCATAGTTACATATAAAGCGAACACGCTAGCCAATCAAGTGAAATATTTTTTTTACTTCAGCAGTGGCCAGTTAATAGTTCAGTCTGTTCTAATTCCGTGGCCTTATAACAAACAAAAACAATAAAAATCAAAAAAGAAGTAAGTAAAAAAGTCCACAATAAGCTTTATTATATTCCTTGAAATCGTTTAAACATTTATTACAAAATATTTCTGACAAGTAAATGAAGAAATATGCGTTGTGTACGGTCACCATCAACAAAATAACAGGAATAATATGGCACTATTTTCACATCTTTGAACCGATTTAACTCGGCTTGGACTGTGTTTTTGATATAAGAGCCCATATATTTTTTTGTTTGTAATGTTATTCTGCATCAGTTTATCTACATCCGATCAACTGCCGCGAAAAAACGAAAAGGCACCACGCTCCATACAAATTTGGTCATTGTCATTTTACGGTATGACGATCACCAATCTTAAAAAAATCTTTTGAAGCCTTTTCCAATGAATTTACTACAAGAACAAAGTAATATAGAAGACATTCTAAAGTCATGATAAAAAGTAATAGATGGTGTCATTGCACTTAAACTACCTAAACGACCGCACCACGTGAAACTAGAACTATTTTAAAGTGAACTTTGTAAATAAATATTTATGCCTGTTTTTTATATGACCTCGAATATTTTAAATGGTGAAAAATTGCATACTTCTTTCTGTTATAAATCACTTTCAGAACATTCTTAATAAAGGTGGAATATAATAGTTTTTTTTAAAAAAAAAACGTTGCCCCAGACTAAGATTGGCGCCTGTGTCGTGGGTGCGTTTACGAACATACAAATTCACATACACAATGACACCCAGACCCGAAAAAACAATTTGTGGATCACACAAGGTGGTGTTCCGTGCGGGAATTGAACCCGTGACACGTTGCACGGCAGCCGGTTGTCCAGCCACCGCACCAACCGTGCAGTCTTTCTGTAGTATTTTTGAAGTAGTTAGATACTGTATATCTGAAGTAGTTAAATATAGACATTGATTTTATGTTTATGACAAAACGTACGACGACGACCTGGAAGCTATACTTGTAAATCTCTGTACACATGATCTCTGAGATACGAACATAAAGTAAGTAAAATACATAACTGCTTCAGAGGAACGTGGAAAATATTATGCTCGGAATACGTTTTATTGCCAAATAACACGTACGTAAGTATATTGACACCCAGTTTAGCGTTCTTCCTCTGAATTTTATTCCGTTGGCTTAGGTGAAAATGTCGCAGTAACACGATATACGGTACTAAAATGACATTTGTGAAATACCACCTCAGGAGAGTACTAATAAAACAACGCACCTCATCATTGGCTCGTGTTTACAGGACGTATATAGAGGTCTATTACAGAAAACCTGAGCGGCCGCAAACGGCACGGGACGCCTATCAAGTCGAGGTATAAACGTTAGTTAATAAGCTCTAGACATCGTTTTAATGAAGATGGAGCGGTAAAGTTTGCCGAGCAGCTTGTATCGGAGAGTACGTATAAAATTAACGCGACCGTAATTTGCCGGTGACCGTCGCGTTTGAACGCCGGTCGACTTAATTGCCGGCTGTAAAATTTTTGTTTGCGTCCGAAAATCGGTCGGCATCCGCTGAGTAAATGAGAGCTGCATTTGCGTGCACTACAAAGCGCTTTTCATCTCGGCCGTTTCGAAATACAATTTTTATTTTCTTCAAAGGGTTTGTTTTGGTGCCCGTTACGTAGACTATGGCTCTTTAATGAGTTTACCCCCAAGTTCTCCCATGAATATTTGGCACGCCAACTGTTTGGCCAATTATATTTCGAACAGAGTTTTGTAATGACGCATAAACAAACGGAATTCGACACAAAATCTTTATTCAATATTCGAATATTCAACTAAAGAAATCTTTGTCTAAATAAAGTCTTATCAGATTTATGTGTCTGGAATATATTTTAGGGTTTTCTTTGAGTAGTTATATATAAAGGCAGTACAAAAGTTTAGAACAAAGGAATATAATAAATTGACCAAATCGATTTACGGACTAGTTGAAAACTATTTGAATATTGAAACCGTCTGTTTTGTTTCGACACCCACTCGTGCACGGTAGAGGTAGTAGTAACGTAGATTTCATGGAAATAAATGCTCAGGATACATTTGAATGTTGTTTTTCTGTTTCCATAGTTTGTAAGGTTTGACTAAAGGACCAGATTTAGCTAGCATTGTGCGAAGTTGTGTTAACAAACTGCCCACATGTTACAAGTTGTTTTTACAGCTTCGACCTTGAACGAGAACTTTTGAATTTGTAATATTAGAGGTACATAATGTGATACGCAAAACCAAAATATTGTTATTTCTACTTACTTATTTCGTTTCTAATGAATTGTTTCCTCTAACAATTGATACCGATCAAGAGGTCGTTAAAGCATGTTCTTAATAGGTCGTTAAAGGCCAATATTGGCGATCAAATCTTATAATGTCTTATGGGTCCTAATAGTCCATAATAAGTTCCATCGCGGACGCAAGGACCGCAAAACGTTGAATGAATCGCCAATGAAATATAACGAGCACATTACACGGAAGGACCATAATGATTGTGTTTAGGTTACGATGTGAGAACTTTATAGTTCTCGGTGGATTATGTTAATTTAACTACGCCATTGAGTTTTGTATTTGTGAATTTGTGCAAGTTTGTGAAGAGTAATAAATAGACTATGTGCTTTTTTCTCATGTAATACGTGATAGAAGACGACGAGAAGAACACTCAATACGTGAAGAATACTTAGAATAGGACATAAAAACAACAGAAACTTCTTACTAGGTTACGGCATTGACATTGACATAGTGACCGCCACGAGAATCTCAACCATATTGCAAGATTGTCATAGTACAATGAAGGCCAAGGTTTTGCATAATACGGTAATAAATCACACGATTCCGATGAACGTAAAATTGCTAACTAAAGTAATGTCATAGTAAAACAGCATTTGATTAATACACTTCCAACGCGACCAATATTTCATAACTCTGGTTATATCCCTAAACTGTGTAATTCCACCTCAGCCGACCCTCTGGCAAGTATTACAGGCACGCGAGGATTCTATAAATATTTTATTGCTTCCTTTGTGTACGCAGAAAGCTCATTAGTCATTTTTGTCGTCATAATTATGCTGTGTGTGCCGGCTTTACCTTTCCAAACTCTAATGAAATAGCCACGTAATTGTTTACCACTTCGCTGTTTAATATTTTTATTTTCATTCATATTTCCAGCTGCTTCGTATACGAATATAGCCGTAAAACTTCTGCACTAAAACTTTAAGGAACATTTTCTTATAAAAGGCTTTGAAAAGGAAAATTTTCACGGTAGTGAAAAATAGTCTGAATGGGAAGCGAATGAAACTGGCGAAAAGTGTACTTTATACTTTTATCTCTTGTGAATAGGGTTTTTTTTAATTTTGTTCGTTACTGAATGAATACGGGATTAAACAAAAAGAAAATATTTTTCTGTTTCACTGCGATGGCGAACTAGCTCTTAATTTAAAAAATGACAGTTTCTATGTAACTAATTATGTTTTGTTTTGTTTCAGATAGTGTAGTGTTCCGACGATGGAGTTTGTTGACAATGTCGTGACGGAGCAGTCCAAACACCCGCTGCCGGTGCTCACCGACACGTATTTGTACAGTTGAGCCCGCGGCTAAGATGGTGAAGTAGTGTTTAATAGACAATTAAGTGATACAATGAGCTTATAAGTTTAAGTGAATGTCGGGTGATCGGGAGAGGATGCCTTACTACGGATACCGGGAGGGCGGGCCCGAGTCCGACTCTGAAGGCGGCTGCTCAGATTCGGATGGGGGGTATTCGGACTCTGAGGGCGGCCTGAGCACGGAGAGCACGGTGGGGCAAGGCCTGCCCTTCCCCGGCTTCACGCCGGTCGCTCTCCGATACCTCACGCAAGAGACGAGACCGAGAAGCTGGTGTCTCAAACTCATTACTAATCCATATCCTTTTCAATAGAAAATAATAAACACTTATATATATTGTACTAGGATAAATTTAGATCATCAGAGCCGCTCAGAATGGTCTTATTTTTTATTTCTTATTCATTGTTTATTATAGGTATACCAACACTACCAACAGCTTCTGTATACATAGTATTAAGAAATTACAAAGGAAAAATAGGTATTGGCGACCGTATATCGCCAAAGGTTAATCAACTTTACAATTCAGTGATAATAACTACTAATTGTTATTTAATACCAAGTAAGAAAAATGCTTATATCATAATCACTTCAACTCCATATTTTATAACGTACTAGTACGGTAAACGTGTGACTACACCGAATATACACACATAATTGAAGTGAGACGTAAAATACGCAAGTTTTCTCTTTTGACCAAATGACATTGTAAGACTATAATAGAAAGAGCTTAGCAAGCGAAAAGACTAAATAAAAATATCGAGAAAAACAGCAAGCCTACGGTTTTCAGATTTATAGCCGATATATTTTGCTGAATTAACTCTTGTAAATTCTGTCTCCAACCATTTAATAGGGGACGATATTCTTTTTTGCATAATATATTCGTAAAATACGTGCTACAAAATAAAGAAAAGAGCAATATGTTCCAAGAGAGCTAATATGTAGTAATAGTTATGTTACACAGATAGTTACTCGTCTGGAAACAGACTGTACCTCTATACACTCGAATTGTTTAAGCCCCCTTCAGCCAATGATAGCAAACATTGGGATTGACGACGGAATCGTAGGTCGAGTGGTCATCTAAAAGATTTGTAGTGGCACTCACTAGAGGCTTTGTTTACTGTTGTTTGTTTCCGTCAATTTTGTAGTGAAATTTGGTTTTAAAACTTTCATTGTTATGTTTACTCTAACTGGACGAGAGTATTGTAATTGGAAACATGTAGCTTTTACAAATATTATTTTTTATTATACATGAATGGTTATAAAAATACATTTTCATTGAGTATACTCTCAAATAAACAGACCTAACCATTTTCACATGAAATCGTAGTTACAGAACAAGATGTTAGTAACTGCATTCAATAATCGATTGCCATACAATTCTCTCACAAAGCTTATTCAACTGTTTCAATTGGAAACAAGGTTGTTCGCCTATAACATCAAATACAACTGGTACCAGGGTACCAGGGTGCATACAGAGGCACTCGTGCTGTGAATAATTGACAGCGCTCGCGAAGATCAAAGCTTTGACGCGTGTATTGGTCGTATGACCTCCGGCGACACGACTGTCTGCGACGTAGGCTAACAAGGAATTTCAAGTCTTAAAAGCTGAGATGCAGATGTCAGATTTATTTGAAAACGGAACAGTTTTAAAAGGCCAAAGGTTATATTATTTTTGCTTTGATACCACAGCACATTAAAATATAAGTATCAGCAGCAAATAAACGAAGTATCTAACAATACACCACCTTTAAAAAAACCGAATTCTTTTTCTTTCTTTATCAAGTACGAACGGATTTGTATTTCAGTGATCGACTCAATCTACTAATTCGATATCGGATCAAGTACGCGTAAAGCAAAATTCCCAATTGCTATTGTACATTCCTGATTATTTATTTGTTTAATCTCCCTTCTGTTGTCGGTTCCTCGTGCCAACGTTTCGGTATCTATATAATATTAATATAGCTTTGTTATCATGGCCAATGCAAGGCTACGTGGCCTTCACAGAATCCATTGTTTACTATACGCTAAAAATATGAAGATATTAAAATAACATTTGATATAAAAAGTTGCTCATGGAGGTAGCGGAATACTAGTACCTTTATATATATACTTTTAAAAATCATTTTGTTTGAAAAATGTAGCACTCTCATTTGATTTACATAATTCCATATTCTAAAAAGAGTCTAAATTTATTTGATACTAGCTTCTGCCAGCGTCTTCGCCCGCGGTCCCAGGGGTAAAATGCCTATGTATCACTTCAGACCATAATCTACCTCTGTTCCGAATTCCATTCCGGTCCCTTCAGTGGTTTTAATATGACTGAATAACAAAGAAACACAACACATAAACTCACATATTTTCATTTATAATATCGAGTCAAGCTAATTTCAACCATTGGCCTTTCAGTTACAGCGTAATGTCTATGAATGAGTATTGTAAACGTTAGAGTAGACAAATACAATCAGAAATCACCGAATTGCTAAGCTATCGGGAGTTTCACGTGTTATTGTGAGTCAACCATAAAAGATAGACATATGCTGTCGAGGAATATTTTTTATATAATTTTAAGGAGAATATTTCCGTCATATATGATTTCTATGCAGCTTTAACCTATAAGCCTGCACACGCGACGGAAGCTTAAAAAATGGAGTAACTTCTCCCGTTTTCCCAATATTTCCCTTCACTGCTCAGCTCCTTTTGACCGTAGCGTAATGAAAAGTATACTATAACCTGCCCAAGAGTATGAAGAATAATTGTGCCAAATTTCGTTAAAATCCATCGAATAGTTTTTGTTTCCATAACGAACATACAGACAGACAGACAGACAGACAAAAATTTTACTGATTGCATTTTTGGCATCAGTAACGATCCCTAACCACCCCTTGATAGTTATTTTTTAAATATATTGTATGTACAGAATTGACCTCTCTACAGATTTATTATAAGTATAGATTGCAGGACCTTCGTTTCCTACCTCATTTATAATTAAAACCACTCAAAATTAAAACTCTTTGGGTTGATGCATCTAACTAAATAAATAAACAAACAAACTCCTTCCCCATAACAAATTCGTAAAGGGAAGAGTCTAATCTTAGAGAAGTCTACGTTTTCATAATGTTATTAATCAATGAAGCGAGCTACCGCCATATTGTATTCTGAAATGAGTTCCGTTGTTCTTAGCCTTCCCAGCGTAGCATTAATATTTAATCCATTGCCAGACCACTGATTATAAGTAGCTACCGAATTTTATTCAGACACCTTCATAAATAAATAAGCAGCCGACTTCAATTACCCTTCAACTTAATCGAGCATAAAGAGACCCGCCAATGTAGAGAAGCTAAGCGCGTAATGAATATGTAAATTGAATAAAACGTATGTATTTCAAACGAAGACTAATTTTCCTTTAAATGAGGGAAATTTGTAGACTTTCTGTCAACTGGTTTTATGTTTGTATGTCAGTTTAATGCTTGGGTCGATCTGTAAACTATGTCCAGATTATAACAACAGATTCATTATAACCAATCAAAAATATTTTTTTCTACAGTAAAAGAATTTTTAAAAGAAATATCGGCCAGTGCTCTTTTCTTTCTCTTTTTTGGCTTTGGCTGGATTTTGGAGTTGCATTGTTCTCACATCCTTGAACCAACAATACTATGTAATTGAAAATTGTATTGCAAACCTGATTTGAAAAGATTAACCTATACAGTTTCTTGCTCGTTCTTCTCCATTAAAATACACCTTGGAATGAGTAAATAGCTTCACTGTAAATTTTTTGTTGACAAACAAAAGTGCACTCCTCGTCTAATTGAAATAAATGGGTTTGATTTTGACTTTTTACTTAGACTGAATTTCATTCCATTTCTATTAGGTACGTTACCTTATCATAGTTTACGATCTCTATTGAAAAGATAAATCGAATTTGAGTTCAAACTGCGGCCAAAGGACCAAAAGCTAACACTAGACTAAAAAGGGCAGTGAAGGTTAAGATAATTTGAGAAAACATTTCAGCTTGGAGAACAAAGCACGTTACGTTCATACAAGGTTGGGCAGAGCCTGTGAGCCTGTGAGCCTGTGAGCCAGAGAAGCGATGCCCTGCGGCGTAGACAAACAATCTAGCTGAGAGCCACCGACCTCCTCCCCTTGCTTTTATACCTTTGTCCAAATATCATAGTTTTCATTTAATATTACACTAGTATATATGTTACTGTTCATGACTAGTGTTCAAAGTTACGGCTATTATTTGATTTCTATTTTTGGTTATAGAATTTTATATAAACGTTCTTATTTATCAAGACTTAACGTCGACTATGCTATTTTCTATTTACAAGCCATATTCATTTTACAATTTTATTCTAACTATATAACAGTATTTCGTGAATCATTTAGTAACGAATTATAGCAATTTATTTTCTTCATCACATTTAAATTGTTTTCAATTGGTGTTGCAGGGCCCAAGTGTCATCAATTTCCATTACCCTCGCAGTTATTGAATTTCTTGTGCAAACATAAATATGGTTCTTTACTGCCTACGACCGAGTACGTTATTCATGTTTAGATGGTAACATAATATCTCGGTAGTTAATCATTGCGGCTGGAAACCATTTTCTTTAGATATTAATTTTCTTTTATAGTACAAACAAAAGTTCAAAGTAACAATACCAAACAAAATCATCGTGTTACAACAGCCGCGGCTAACTATCATATAAATTATGAAAAACAAATCTGGTTAGTTTCAACTGCGTGGCATGTGTGTAATGAATCTAAATTGTTTTATGCGCACATACTTCGTGCGCGATGTGGCTGTTCTTTTGTAGGTTACCATTCATAGATTTTCTTTCATCTTCTATTCAATACCCTAGAATTTGATACATATAATTAAATAGGACAGTATTAATGGCAAGCTTAACCGTTTTCATTATACTGAATGTTATCTTGCTGTATATTTTTTGTACATGTGCTAGTTAATTGCTGATAATTCTTTATAAACGTGTTCAAATTATGCATTTTCTAGGTTTGTTATCAACAATATACCTATATATTATATACTTACGGCACTCTTGATAAACTTCGTTGTCAGATTTTTGTCCTTTTTATGACTCATGAACACGTAATTTCAGTTTGCATAGAAATTAGGGTAACGTGTGAACTGTATAATGACACTTTTCACATTTTTATGCAAATTACGAGTACGTATCTCAGATGGTGTAATTTTTGACTCATTTATTTAATGTTGTCCTAATGAGAAAAGTTCTGCTAACGGCCAAAAGTGTCTCTGTAAAAAGTAAAACGAGGTCCTCGCTAATATTATTTAAT